ACAACAGAAAGATGATTTCTTGTGTCTGGACCATGTCTTTAGCAACTGATACCTTATGTTTATCAGTAATATGTTTCAATTCCAACCAATCATGACTTTGTTCATGTTAAGCTAATGTTCTCTGCTTGGATGTGTTGTGCTTCAGATGCAGCTTTGAAAAATCAAATTGTAGACTCTCTCCTCGCCCTCCTTTTTACTTTACTGTGAGTTCATGGATCTTAACAATTTCACATTATTAAATGAAGATGCTGACCTACATCAGCTGGGTTTGTTGTTGTTGATTTTGGGTTTGCACATTTGAATATGGAACTACTAGTCCTTCAAAAGAAAGGAAAAAAACAATGACTTCTCTAAGATTGTTTTGTGACTTCAGACAATTAATCTGCTAAAACTACTTTTACACAGTAGAGACAGTTCAAATAATATATACCTTTTAGGCCTTTTGGTTCCTTAATCTTTCGTAATTCAAAGTTGTGTGGGTTTTTTTTTACCTTCAATTGAAGCTATGTTAGGTAATTAACACTGATGATGGGTGAGTTTATTACCCCTTAAGCTGGGCATACACTGTATGATTTTTGCGAGAATTTTCCATGACCCGGATGACTTTCACTGGTTACCTCTGTCTCTCTATTACTGATAGCCATCGTCTAAATTGTTCCTTTGGCAAAGTGCCTGAGCTCTCTAACATCCGATATGAGAAAACTGGCTCATACTTCATCTGCTTAGCTCTATTTCTCTCTTAGATGAAGCTACTAAAAGAGCCATTAACTCTTGGTTGTTTTCTGTAAAGTGCGCAGAGACAGCATATGTTGTAAAATGGCATTATCTAAATGACCTGAACTGAACCGTCGTACCAAAAGGAGGTCATTACAGACCACGCTGCTCTAACTTAACTACGTGCTCAAAGCAGAAGTATAATTATGATGGATGGCAGCAAAACAACACATCTCTCAGTTCCAAGGTAAGGAAAGCAGGAAGATGCAAAGTAAATGAGAAGGAACACAACTCAGGAGGAAATTGCTCACTGAGGCGGATTTATTATTTCTACTTTGGCCCAGTTTAAAACAGTTCTCTATACCCACACACAAACACACATAGATAGGAAGGAAGAGCTAAAGTAGAGCAGATGTCAGGGTCCAAACCATACAGTGGCTCTCTGGAGGGCCATATTTCATGCTAACAAGGCAACGACAGAACTGTGCTCTACATGCTGAGGGTTCTAAACTTGGGAAATAGCTGCCTGGATTGGTAGACCACAGACAGCTAGCACGTCAGGAATATACCCGAGCTCCACTGACTGACCAGAGACTGACACAGGCTTGGTTAGGTCTGCTTAGATCCTCCACCCGCATTAGAAGAATTCAATAAGTGTAAGCGAAGCTGATGAAGGAGCAGGAGCAGTCAAAGCAGAACGTTTTTCACCATCATGGCAGCTATTGGTGTTTTTATGACATTAAAACAACTTTTGAGTCAAAATGAATGTGACACATCAAAGAGAATACGTAAAGGACAAACCAAGAGAACCTTCCAAACAACTTCAAAAAGCAGTTTTTACCATTATGCTAAAAAGCTCAGGGTTGTGGAGAGGAAACCTGAATAATATCCTGTTCTCTGATTCTCCCACCTGAGCAATCAATTTCTGCAGCTCTTCCAGAGGTACTGTAGGCCTGTCAGCCTTCCTTGTACAGTATGTGGCTATCAGCTTATTCAAACCCATGTTAATGGTACATTTTCAGTTCAGACCTCCTCTTTGTATTTTGTGATGAACAGATCCAAAATGTAAAATGTTAAAATCTAACTTAACCAGGATTTGTTTTTGTTTCTTTTCTCTTGTTTCTTTGCTCAGGTAATAGATTACACTAGTCTTTATTTATTGACACTGAGTCAATGGGGCTTTAGAAATTTGAGTCTTATTTTTTACACTGCAAAATTGATCTAGAAATAACATTTCACAAATTAAATGTATTTACCATTAATTTGAGTAGATAAATAAGATGATTTGCCAACGGAATGAGAATTGTTCCTAATAAAACAAGATAATTGGATAATTTGCACTTCATATAAAACAATGAAATCGTTCTTTCTCATTTTAAATATAAATAGTTTTGTTCCACCGACAGAGTTTCTCACTTACCTTCTCAAGTCAAGAAAAAATGCACTTATTTTAGATTTTTAGGTTGTTTGCAATGTAGCTAACCTATCAACTAATCACCATGAATTATTTTTCCTCCTTTTAAAAGTGTTCCCTGCTTTGAGGCAGTGAATCGGACTATTTACCCAATAAAACCAGTAGAGATTAAGGCTCTAATGTAACCTGAATGGGAACCAAAAGTTACTGACTGATTAGAAAACTACTGTCCTTCTATTTAAGGTTTTCTCTGAATATACGTAGACTTAAATATAAAAAATAATTAACTTTTGCATAAATATTTTAAATCAATCTAAAATTTTTTTTTTTTTTTTTAATTAAGACGTTTTTTTTAAAAAAGTTGCATTTTTCACAAAACATTTTCAACAAATTTCTTCTATTGGAACATTGTTTTTCCTTTCAGCAATACTGAAACACATTTCTCTCCATAGATGTAGACTTACTAACTTTTAGTTTAATCTTTATGTTGAGTAAAATTAAAATCTCTTTATTCACTGTGTATTATTATTTATTACGTCTGTGTACTTTTTTACAAATGCTAAAACACCTTGCCATAGTGACATGGTTTGAGTTTTCCACATGAGCGCTATGGCACAGGGGGTCTGCTTACTCTCTTTGAGCTCCCAGGGACGCCAAAAGCTTTGGAGGTTTGTTAACCATCAAAATTCGAACTGAAAACAGGTCGATGCCACATAGGGGGGTTAATGCTGATTGGAAACATCTTCTAGAAAATACATGTCACCGTGTCAAAGACCAGGCTTGAAAAGAAACCAAGTGAATCTCTGTATAAGGACTCTCTGACAGAGGGGGACTCGTGATGTTTTACCTGCTGACGCATCCAGAGGGCTGCTGGGAGCATGGAACTCTGGGAGAGCGGCGCTGTGATCCTTCGGGACGTCCGAGGCAGCTTGAGGTGTGGGATACTGCGGCTCGGATATACTCGGGGTCTTCTGTGTTTGCACAGGTGAGGCTCCGACTTCCACTGTCATTCCAATCCCACCAGGCTGGGAAAAGCCTTAAAAAACAATTAGTTAGGATTTATAGTCCATCCTGAAAGGTTTCAGATGAATAAATTTGCTTTAATGGTGGAAAAAAAGGAGCGTGTGACATGAGAAAGAACCTGTCTGACAGCATGAAGTAGACCCAGACATCTACAAAAGCAGCCAGGCCAAAAGTATGGAGAGAATTTTGTTCCATAGTTTTTGCGGGGGGGGGAAATTGTAAATGGAAATTTGAAATAAAAGAAATTGAAATGAAAAAAAAATGTTTCAATTTTTGTTTTTTCCCCAAAAAATTTTTCTATTCCCCCCCCCCCCCATTTTCATTAATTTCTCTTCATCAGACTGAATTTAACTATCTGTATTCCCTACTGTATTCCACCAATCACATTCTCTTCACTTGAAGCCCATTTCAAATGACATTTACCAATAAAAATGCAGTTATTAATGTCCAACAGACCACCAGAAATGTGTGTTTCTCCTCAGTCCAAAACCAATTTGAAAAAAATGCAATTCATAAAACACAGTCTGAAACATTTAATTTGAAAAAATAAAATATGAAAATTAAGGAAAAAAGTTACTTTAAAAACCTTTAATTAAGATTTTTTTAAGTTTAATTTCTGTTTTGCATTTTATTTTTACATTTTCATTTCACAAAACCAGTTTTTTCCGACAATAATGGAACACAATTCACTCCATACCCCTGGGTCATGTTTTTCTAACACAGCCCTGTTAGC